GTTTGAAAAACTCTGACTTGTTTACTGAACATATGGATGGATTTGCTTAGCCAGATACTATTACCAATTCTTTCATTCAATTCAAGTGAGATGTTGCAGTTTCACCATAAACAGATCTCAGTAAAAATATCTTAGTGTCTCCATTGCAGGGCTGTAGTATTCAGTTTTACTGAGAATTTACAGAATTTCACATGAAAATTTTTTACTCCCTAAGTGGTCAATGGCATCACAGTCTGAAGAAAGGCTGTCTATGTCAAAAGAAGAACAATTAATATAACCATTTAGAGAAAGTAACACTTTTTAGTATAATGCAATTTTATATTATTACATCTCTAGTTGTTAGATTGTATTGATTTGTGTTGAAATTAAAAGAATGCCTTCGGAATACATTTCCTTCCAAGGAAAAGCTGTCACCTGGTCTAGAGAAAATGCATCATAGGGGCATCAGCCCCACAACTGAGAAAAGGAATCTCCAAAATGTATGTATAATATTACAAAATAACAGGAAGAAAAAATAACTGAGGGTACAAGTCCTCAGTTGATTCCAAGAATTTAGCAACATACAGCCATAGCTGACCCCAAACATAGTTAATACAGCTGTGCCCTTAACTTCAACCCTGAGCCTTTAAGTTCTTATTAACCTTATATGATCTCAAATATAGCGATCAGTTATTTTTAGTCTTATCAGTAATTTCCAAATGTTGCGTTTTCACAACTGAATTTGTATACTTCTTTGCAATAATCACCATGTAGTAACAGCACAGTACATAAATGCTGAATGGATGAATAAATTCTAAAGTCTATGCCTCTCAAAGGCATGAGTAATTCTCTGGCTGCATCTGAACAATAGGGATTTATAAAGATGAAATGAGGGCTGGGCGAGGTGGTTCATGCCTCTAATCCCAACACTTTGGGAGGTCGAGGGAGGAGGGTCACTTGAGCCCAGGAGCTTGAGACCAGCCTGGGCAACATAAAGAAGACAATGAAATGAGCTCCAATAGCATCTGACTTTAGAGGAACATATAACCTTCATTTTATTTCATTTGTAATATGCAATATGTCTAGCTATGAAGAAATCTATTTAGGATCTAGTATGCCAAGACTTTAGATACAGCAATTTCTTCTCATTAAGTGATGTAATAACTTTTAAGGGCCACTGTAACTCAGCAACAAAGCAAACTCCATTTAAAGAATGCGAGGGCCTCTCCTTGTGCCAGGGAACAATGAATGACTTCTGTTAAGTAATTAATTGAAAACACACACACACACACACAAACAGGTACGCATGTGACTCACCACATGCTCTGACCAGGGTATATAAGCCTCCCTCTACACATGCTGCCATTCACACTCAGGATCTTGCCTTGAGCAGCAAACCAACTCACCACTCCTGTCACCATGAACTACTACGGCAACTACTATGGAGGCCTGGGCTACGGCTATGGAGGCTTCGATGACCTGGGCTATGGCTATGGCTGTGGATGTGGCGGCTTCCGCAGACTGGGTTATGGCTGTGGCTATGGAGGCTACGGATACGGCTCTGGCTTTGGAGGCTATGGATACCGCAGCTGCCGCCCATCATGCTATGGAGGATATGGATTCTCTCAGTTCTACTGAAATCCTACCCTGAGGACTCAGTATCAGAGGTCATAAGAAGATCATTCAAATTAACCAAATATTGAGTCAAACAAGGGCACACTGTATCAATCCGAGATTTAAAAAAAAATCATTTAGCATGTAAGATGTTAGGAATATTTATTATGTTATAATTGTCTATATCATGTCTACTGGCATCCACTATCTGTACTTTACTAATTGTGGAATTGCTTGGTTCCCTTTGCAATAAATTGTCTCAATTTGAAATGGCACACATGGCTTCTGTTTATTTATCTATTTGTTTAAATGCTGACTTTCCATTCCATTGCCTATTTCTTTTCTTGAGTGCTTCCCAATAATCTTAAAATTCTGGTCATATGTTCATGTAACAATCATAGCTGAGTTTTGAAGACTAGTCTACTTTTCACACTATATGCCTCTTTTTATTTAAGATTTTGGTGAATCTGGAACCTCTTCATTTCTAGCATATCTAGATCTAAATAAAAGTAATCAGTAAATAATGATAAATTCAAATGGTATAAAAAATTAAGAAGAATTAGAAAGACTCAGACTTGTTTACTAAACATAAGAATAGGTTTAAGACCCACACTTTCAGTCAGTCTAGTCAGAGTACATACACTCTCCATTGACTGGGTCAATTGATTCCATTGGAGGGCTACACTACTTAGTTTGACAGAATATGACGATAGCTCTTCCATTTTCCTAATCGTTAGTGGCATTTTCCCACAATATAGGTAAAGGCCTTCTGTAGCTATGAATAACAATCAATTTAACTACTTGGAAAAAGCGTTTGATACTTCTAGTACAATGTAGTATGATTAGAACTTGAATTTATTGATTTTATGGATTGCTGAAGGATTTAAAAAAATATTCCAGAATATCTTTACTTTCAGGGAAGAGCTTTGCTTATCTTAGGAAGAACACATTATAACAAGACCTTAAGCCCCAAAACAGATGCATATTTGGTAGACTTAAATTGGCGGTATCTGAAACCTGTTTGATTTATTTGCGATTATGTTGCTTTAGCCTGAGTTAATAAAAACTGTAATATTCAAATCATCAACTGCCTTTAAAAAATAATCACAAAAATAGAACAAGCTTTAAAGAAAACAGAGAAAAATTTTAAATAACAATGTGAGAAGTAGTCAAAATTTTTTAAATTAGTACCAAAAACATTAAACATAAAAAGATTTTAAAGTGGGAATTTCTTATATTATTGCATTTTATTTATGTAGAGACACCATTTTAAGGTGAAAAAATCTATATACTGGATGAAAATATTTTTAATACATAAATCTGAAAAACACCCATATCCAAATATGTAAAGATCACCTGAGAATCAATAATAAAATATTACTAGCTCAATTAAAAGTGAACAAAATACTTCAACAGGCACTTCAAAAAAATATCTAAATGGCCTATAAGCATATGTAAAGATGCTGAACATTGTTATTAATCAATAAAACCATATTAAACAATAATCAGGTATCATTATGTATTCACAAGAGTAGTCAATTTTTTAAAGAGTTTGCAAGTGATCAGTGCTGGTAAGGATGTGAAGCAACTGGAACTCTCATACATCCCTGTTGGTACAGTAAATTTAACTGGTAAACGTAATAACTGTATCTTGAGATTGGTAGAATCTATGGAAGTGAACTATATTATATAATATATAACTGTTATTTATGATAATATATAATTATATATAATGTATAAAATAAGTATAGATATGATACAAATTAGTAATTCCTATCCCAGCTGTAACAAAGGTATAGGAAAGTCTAGGTCTAAAAATAAGGATCTTAGCCGGGTATGGTAGCTCACTCCTGTAATCCCAGCACTTTGGGAGGCTGAGGCTGAGGCAGGCGGATCACTTGAGGTAAGGAGTTTGAGACCGGACTGGCCAACATGGTGAAACCCTGTTCTACTAAAAATACAAAATTATTTTTTATTTGGGCATAGTGATGCATGCCTGTAGTCCCAGTTATTCGGGAGGCAGAGGCAGGAGAATCACTTGAACCTGGATGACAGAGGTTGCAGTGAGCCAAGACAGTGCCACTGTACTCCAGTCTGCATGATAGAGTGAGACTCCATAAAAAAAAAAAAAAAAAGAAAAAAAGAATCTTTATAAAAAGGTACATAACAGATTTCTTTATTCACTATAGCAATAAAAAACAAACCAACCAACCAAACCAAAACTGAAACCACTAAACTCCTCAAAGATAGGTCTACCAGAGTAGAATCATAAATCAGTTGTGCTCTATTCATGTAGTAGACTACTTTTCAGAAATTAAAACGACAAAATTCATGTTACATATGACAGAGATCTACCTAATAGACAGTGATACACAGACAATTGGGGATGGAAATGGAAAGTTTCAGTATGCTATATGAGACCACCTAAGTGAAGTACAGAACAAGAAAACCTTATGCAGGATGTTAACAGTTACTCTACACGGAATAATATTGACTGGTAGAGTCAAGGGACAGATTTTGGGAATTAGAGTGTGCTTGTTATAGGTGGTCTATAAATATAAGAAAAATATCACCAACTTGTATACTTAAGATTTAAGTATTTTTAAATATGCCTTAAACAACAGCAACAAAAAGCAAATGAAATGATAGGTTATTTATTCCTCTAAAGAAATAAAGCTATTTGAGCTGATTTCTCTTTTAAATTCTTATGTTGGATACATTCATAGTATTGTTCATTTCTATGAGATGTAAGATTTTTACCTGTAAGAACTTTAGAATTCATTCATCTATTCAACATTTACATATTGAGTTTCTATTGCATGCTGGTCATTGAACTGCAGCCAGCAAATCTATCTGGAGAAATGCATAATTTGAAAATTGCTTATAAACTCATCAAAAGTTGAACAGTATATTCAAAGTAATACAAATTTAACAAGAAATTATATATTTAAGTTTACAGTTAAGGGCATATGTGGGTGGGGTTTGGGGTCAGCCTTGGGTCTAGGTGACTAAATTCTTACAGTCAGCTGAGGTACTCTTTGTCTTTATTATTTTCTTCATCCTGTCTTTTTACATTATACATATTTTGGGGGATAACTAAGACATTCACAATGCTAACAGTCTCTTACTGAATTTCCCAGGGTCTTGGGCGATGGCATCTATTTTTAACATCTAACACTTTAATAAATGCTTAACATCTTAGTAAAGATTAGTTAGCTATTTTCCTTTAGGAAAAAAAGGAACACACAATAGGTAAAGGTAATATAAAGGAAAAAGTTATGAAAATTTGAAGATTATATATATATCTATATATACATATATCTATATATATACACACACACATATATATATAAATTTAAGTAAGTACTAAATGAAAATTGACGGGAGGCAAAGAGAATTCCATATATTTCACCATCTCACCTAGTCCCAGACGCTAATGGGAACTGAAAGAATATATTGAAAAGAGGATAATTGTGTGGATCAGGAAAAAGGAACGAATGGTGTTTGTAAGAGAGGAGAGCCATACAATCTGTATTTTTGGTAGCACCTTGGATGTCTAATATGGCAGTAAGGGAGTCAGGGTGTGAAAAAAATTTTGAACAGCTTGTAAAGCTGCTTAGGAAATAGATTTTTTTTATTACTGTGATTTGACTTTAATGTTTGAGCTATATTCTGTTACGTCGTTAAATCAAAATGGTTTTTATTTTTTAAACTAGTAAAACAAAAAAAAAAGGAGAATATTGATTATGATGGCCAATGTCCTAGAATAACAGAAGAATGGTGGCTTTATTTTAACTTTTTTAACCCCATGAAGTTCTTTACTGTTAGGCATAGCAGGTGAGCAGATGGCTCCAGTCTTTCAAATGTTTGCTTCTCTTTAAAAAGGGACCTCACCTAAGGTATAAGATAACTCTGGAAGAATATGATAAATTTCAGAGCATTGAATTTAACCAAAGTCTGTTATGCAATCACAAATGAAGCAAAACAATTCCAGGAAAGCCAGAGATGAAGCAATACTTAATTTCAAAATGTAGCATTACCAACTGTGTAATGCAACATGCCTACAAAGAAGTCTGTTTAAGGTCTGGTATGTACAGACTTTGAACCTACAGCAATTTCTTCTCATAAAAGTGACGCAATATGTTAAAGGGACAGCATGACAAGACAGCAATGCAATGCAAGCTCAAACACTTTAATGAGTTTGAGGGCCTCTTCAGATGTCAGGATTGGGTCAGGTAAGTGTAACATATAGAATTACACTAAAATAGGCAGGAAGTGTTTTGTCACGTGATCTGTCAGGGTATATAAGCATGCCTGCGCAGACGTCAACATTCACACTCAGGACCTTGCCTTGAGCAGCAAACCAAACTCACTACCCCTGACACCATGAGCTACTACGGCAGCTACTACGGAGGCCTGGGCTATGGCTACGGAGGCTTCGGTGGCCTGGGCTATGGCTATGGATGTGGATGTGGCAGCTTCCGCAGACTGGGTTCTGGCTGTGGCTATGGAGGCTACAGATATGGCTCTGGCTTTGGAGGCTACGGATGTGACTCTGGCTTCGCAGGCTATGGATATGGTTCTGGCTTTGGAGGCTACGGATATGGCTGCTACCGCCCATCATACTATGGAGGATATGGATTCTCTGGATTCTATTAAACTACTGCCCCAGCAACACAATATCTGAAATTATAAGAGAACTTTCCCAAAGCTGACTTCAATCATTGGACAACCAAGATCACGCTGGAGCTATTTGCACAAAAGAATTTAACATCTCAGAATTTCAGGCAATCTTTTCTATGTACATCCATATCTCTATCATAATCCTGGTATTCTCTACTTTTACTTTTATAACTGGTTGAATTATCTATCTATCTTCCAATAAAACATTCTAATTTCAAAACACAATGTGGTTCCGTTTTGTTCATGAAACTCAATTATATGTAAGTGATGATGTCAGAGAAGCTATCTCCCTGACTGAGAATCTATGATTTTCATATACCTCATAAACATGCATGCAGATAGATAAATACATCAATAGCTCCAAAGAATAATAATTCTAGATTGAAATGAAAAATAGAACTTCAGAATGGTTAGTAATCTCACATTTTTCAACATTTTGCTTTTATTTAGATAGTATTCAGATTTCAGTCAACAACAAAAAGCAATACCTACTTAAGATGTCTTTATATTTATATATCAAGCATATATGTTTTATTTAATTCAGGTCACATTTGTCAACTCACTGCGAATGTGTAATGAATCCTTCTATCCGTTCAAAATTTCTTTCTTTTATTGTAAGAGCAAGCAGATGGTGACAGAGCAAACCATATTTCTAGGTTAATTATGAAAGTATATTATCTTTCCAAATTATTGTATTTGGTATAACCTCACCCTATCATACTCTTCTGCCCATTAATTCATTTGACATTTTCATTGAACAACTGATGTAACTGATGTAACTATTAAATTAGTATAGAATTTTTTTCATATTGGTTTAACATATTTAACTCAAAACATTTTAGATATTTTTTTTCAATTAGCTTTTCTATTATCTTACTTAATCCTCATGGTATGATACAGCATTCTTCTTCACCATCACCATTATATTGAAAATTTTGCAACTTAACAAGGGAAAGAAACAAGACTTTAATGTGAACTAATTTATTTTTTAGCTGAAGCTGATGACAAGAACACTTTGATCCAAAGAGTTTTCTTACAAACCTGAATTTCAGTTAAACCACTCCCCTGATAAAAATAGGAAGGGGGCATTTTGTTGATGAAATTTTTAAAAGATATAAATGAATATCAGCTTTTTTCTAAAATCAAAGGATATATTCAACAAACAACATAAAATCAAGATATTTTGTTTAAATTTGTCAAAACTTGTTAAATGTGTCTGATTGAGTCACACAGTAGCATTAAAAGTTGCTCTACTAGAACAGACATTAAATGGTAGCAGTTACATTCATTTCGTCTTGTAGGTTAAACAACAATGACAGCAGCAAAAACACTCAGGAAACTTACACTAGCTCTAGTGGCAGAGTCAGGATCAGGGTTATTGCCAAGGTCTTCTGAATGCAGGTGCCACCGTGAAGCCTTTATTCCCAGTATATTTTCTCCCTTCATGAACCCAAAGAGGATATCTTGAATGTTCTGCTCAGTTTCCATAAATGTGACTGAATTTATGGGGGAAATGAAAATGGTTTCTTATAATCACTTTTCTATAATATTTTATTGTTCTCATTTAGAGAATTGAACCTCTTGATTTCAATGTTACCTTCATCTAGACTTCAACTGTAACCACATCTATATGCATATCTATAAGTATATATACATAAGTATACCTATATTTATCTGTATGGATATATCTATTTCAAGGGATTAAAGTTTTCATTTGAAAGTCACAAAGTTAAATTTGCTTAGCCATGTGATATCAGCTATTCTTCTAGTCAGTTCAATCTAGATGTTGTAGGATCACAATACGTAGAAAGGCAAGGTAGAGTTATGTGGTCCCATCATTTTGCACTTACTCATTCAGGTTAATAGTTTCAAAGTCAATGGACATGCCTTATAGAGCTAAAAATAAAAACACCTATCAATATGATTATATTGAGAAACATTGTATATTATACTTTTATTCAAATGTATTATCAAATTTTATTACATCTTATTTTTTATTTAATTAATTTTTATCTGGGTTAAAGAAACATGTTTTGAATTTATAGAAAAATGTCTTTATCTCTCAAATAAAAGTTAATCACTCGGCCAGTAGAAAACTTTATTTTTATTATTTCACACATCAACACAGGATCTGAGTTTCACAATGAACTCATGATCTTCCTGGAAAAATCTCCCAAAAATAGCATAACAGAGAACTAATTGTGCAAGTCCACTGAATTAAGTGAAAAAATTAAGTGAAAAAATTTTAAGAAAAATAAACATTTCTCAATTTCTAAAGTATCCAAAAGATACTATAATTGTTCTACTTTTTAATTAGGAAAAAAGCAGAAGTCTTTGATTGTTTTGGTTCATATATTTCACAGCATTATATGATGATATATGTGCATGTATCGATATATGTGTATCTGTGTATCACAATGAGATATATATTATTTTGTTGTTTGAAAATACATAAGTAAAGCAGGGCGTATTTTATTAAATAATATTTTGTTTGTAAAAAATAATAAAAATTGCCTTTAATTTGTAAAATCTAGTGGATGATATTTCTCTTGGACATGGTTATAGGCATCAGAAACAGCAATGTACATTAGCCTTTCATGAAGGTTAGAAAATCTGGCGGGCGTACCCAAGAATTAATGAGATTCTTAAACTAGTTAGACTTACTTGTTATTGCTTATCTTCAACAACTACTTATTGAGAATTTAAAAATTGTCCAGTTTTCTTTTTCAGAACGAAAATAAAGGTGGAATGAATTTTGATAAAGGAGAAAACAACCACGGGAAATATTGAGTTGAATATTCCTTTAAAACCTGAAAGCCATTTTGAGTGCATATTCCACATGAGATGTGCACTACATGTTGAGGCGGGCAAAATTCATTCTTTCATTTATCCAACAACTTTTTTGGAAGAATAGTGAACAAATCAAGTTGAGAAAATGCTTTATCAAAAATGTTGCTTATAAACCTCAAAACAAAGCAAAACAGAAAACAAAGCAACGAAAAATACCTTTGGCAAAATGTTTAAAGTCTTGTAAAGCAAAGTACTGCTTAAAGACCCAAATCCAATATATGGTCATATTCTGGTGGAGCTAAACTTGGACTTGATTTACTGTCTTCCCAGAGTAAGTATAGAAAATCTGTGGAGAATGGCCAGCCCTCCTCACATCCTTGCTTCCTATCTCAGTTATTTCACCAGTGCACATCTGCATTTGAGATTTTCAAGGTATCAGAATTGTAAGAGACTGTTAGGTATATTATATGACTCTAAGAGTCATATAAACTATTGTTCAAAAATGTGTAGCTTTAATAAATCATGTCTTTTGTTTGCTGGTTGAGAGAAAATAGAAAGGTGAGGCACACAGAATTGGAAAAGAAAACATAAGGATAAAAATATTGTGATATTAAATATATGGGTAGAATGATAAAATATTGATTGGAAAAAAATGGATAAGAACAAATACCTACGTGGCACTAGTACATATCGGGAATGAATGCAGCATAAAATGAAAAGGTTTGATAAAGAGAACGGATATATACATAGTGAGGAAGACTAGGAAGTGGAAGACAAAGTGGTATCTGTAAAGCATGAAGCCAAGATCATCTGAGTAGCCTAGGTAATACTTTATGTAGAGCCAGTTCTGGAAAATTGTGTAACGGTAAAAATAGAAATGATTGTTTTCGCGCATGTGCGTGTGTGTGTGTGTGTGTGTGTGTGTGTGTATGGTTTAGATAGTTTCACTCTGTCACCCAGGCTGGAGTGCAGTGGCATGATCATGGCTCACTGCAGCATCGACTTCCCAGGGATCAAACAATCCTCCTGCCTTAGCCTCCCAAGTAGCTGGAACCATAGGTGTGCACCCTCACATCTGGCTATTTTTTTTTTAATTTTGTAGAGACAAGGTCTTCCTATGTTGCCTAAGCTACTCTCAAACTCCTGGTGATATAGTTTGGCCATGTCCCCATCCGAATCTCAACTTGAATTGTATCTCCCAGAATTCCCATGTGTTGTGGGAGGGATCCAGGGGGAGGTAATTGAATCATGAGGATTGGTCTTTCCGTTGTTATTCTCATGATAGTGAATAAGTCTCATGAGATCTGATGTGTTTATCAGGGATTTTCACTTTTGCTTCTTCCTCATTTTCTCTTGCCGCCACCATGTAAGAAGTGCCTTTCACCTCCTGCCATGATTCTGAGACCTCCCCAGCCATGTGGAACTGTGAGTCCAATTAAACCTATTTTTCTTCCCAGTCTCAGGTATGTCTTTGTCAGCAGTGTGAATACAAACTAATACACCTGGGCTCAAGTGATCCTCCCACTTTGGCCTCCAGCATTACAGGGGTGAGCCACTGTACCCTACCTGAAGAGAATATTTTTGAACAGTTGGTCAGGCTGGTGTAACAGTGAGTTTGTTCTCTTGAATAGTATCTCGGTTTCTGGAAGAACTTTTGTTATGTTGATAAGCCAAAACAATGTTTTGCAAGCTGATATAGAAAATTAAAGTAGTTTTATATTATGCCTACATACATATTTCCATTACTTTGTATTTATCACAGCTGATCAGAAAATTTATTTATTCAAAAAGTTCCTTTTCTTTTGAAGGAGGAATAGCCTTAATTTCTCAACCCAGTAAAGATATTTGATATTTGAAGGCTTTACTAGATTTAAAAGTTTTAAACTTGATCAATGTATTTGAATCTAGGGGGAGGTAAAATAGAAAAATCTAAGGAATGATATAAAAATGAGAAATGAGAAAAAATTTATAAAAACACAGTATCAAATACGAATAATTCAATATACTTAGTGATGAAGAATTACATTTAGAATTTTAAAAAATTGTATAACTTTGAAAATGCAGATTATTTTGTCATTAAAAAGAATGTATCAGCTGGGCACGGTGGCTCATGCCTGTAATCCCAGCACTTTGGGAGGCCAAGGCGGGTGGATCACCTGAGGTCAGGAGTTCGAGACCAGCCTGGCCCACATGGTGAAACCCTGTCTCTACTAAAAGTATAAACATGAGCTGGGAGTAGTGGCAGGCACCTGTAATCCCAGCTACTCAGGAGGCTGAGGCAGGAGAATCACTTGTATCCTGGAGGCAGAGGCTGCAGTGAGCTGAAATCGTACCACTGCACTCCAGCCTGGGCAACAAGGGCATTCTAACCATGCAGCTAAGCCAGCTCAAAGATTTTAATGAGTTTGTGTGTCTCCTTTTGCTAACAAACAGATTGATGATTTGCATCGAGTAAATAAATAAATAGGGATGCTGTAAAAGGACGGCCACATGTTTATCACATGTTCTGCTCAGGGTATATAAGCGTTCCCTAAACATGCTGATATTCACACTCAGGACATTGCCTTGGACAGTAAACCCAAGTCACCATCTCCGACACCATGAGCTACTATGGCAGCTACTATGGAGGTCTAAGCTATGGCTGTGGGGGTTTTGGTGGCATGGGCTATGGCTACAGCTGTGGATGTGGCAGCTTCTACAGACTGGGCTATGGCTGTGGCTATGAAGACAGGAGATATGGCTGTGGCTACAGAGGCTATGCAGATGGCTGCTGCTGCCCGTCATGCTACAGAGGATATAGATTCACCAGCTTCTACTAGGCTGCTGTTCTAGTGATGCAGCATCTGTTACCTTGAAGGGATTTCAAACAAGTTACTTCTAAGATACAAAAGGTGTAAAAGGTGTAAATGTGTAAATGAGGGTAAAGGTGTAAATGTGTAAAAGGGAGAAATTGGCCAGAACAAAGGGGCTATAGACCCCAAACAAGTCCAAAACCCAGCAGGGCAGTCATTAAATATTACAGCTTCAAAATAATCTCCTTTTACTCCATGTCTCACACCCAGGCCACATTGATGCAAAGAGCAGACTCCCAAGGCATTGGGCAGCTCCACTTCTGTGGCTCTGCAGGGGATAGTCCTCCTGGCTGCTTTCACAGGCTTGCATTGAGAATCCGCAGCTTTTCCGGGCACACAGTGGAAGCTGTTGGTGAATCTACCATTCTGGGGTCTGGAAGATGGTGACCTTCTTCTCACAGCTCCACTAGGCAGTGCCTCAGTAGAGACTCTGGATGGGGTCTTTAAACCCATATTTCCCCCTCCATATTGCCCCAGTAGAGGTTCTCCATAAAGGCTCCATGCTTGCAGCAGACTTCTGTCTGGAAATCCAGGCATTTTCATACATCCTCTGAAATCCAGGCAGGAGCTCCCAAGCCTCAACTCTTGCCCTCTGTGCACCCACAGGCTTAACACCATGTGTAAACCTTGGTAGCTCCTGGCTTGCACTCTCTGGACCATCAGCCAGAGATGTAACTGGAGCCCTTTTAGCCATGGCTGGATCTGGAGTGTCTAGGACTCAGGGCAACATGTCCCAAGGCTGCACAGAACAGTGGGGCCCTGGGGTGGCCCACCAAATGATTTTTCTCTCCTAGGCCTCTAGGCCTGTGGTGAAAGGGCTGCTGCAACGGTCTATAAAATGACTTGGAGGCATTTTTCCATTGTCTTGGCTATTAACATCTGGCTCCTCTCTACTTATGCAAATTTCTGCAATAGGCTTGAATTTCTCCCCAGACATTGAGATTTTGTTTTCTATGACGTGGCTGGGCTGCAAATTTTCCAAACTTTTATGCTCTGTTTCCCTTTTATGCTCTGGACATGTAAGTTCCAACTTCAGATAATCTCTTTGTTCAAGCATATGAGGTTATGCTGTTAGAAGTAGCATGTTACATCTTGAATGATTTGCTGCTTAGAAATTTCTTCTGCCAGACACCCTAAATTATCTCCCTCAAGTTCAAAGCTCAACAGATCCCTAGAACACAGGCACAGTGCTGTGTTCTTTGCTAAAGCATAGCAAGTATGACTTTTTCTCCAGTTTCCAACAAGTTTCTCATCTCCATCTGAGACCGTCTCATCCTGGGCTTTACTGTCCATGTCACTATCAGCCTTTTGGTCACAACAATTTAACAAGTCTCTAGGAAGTTCCAAACTTTCCTCCATCTTCCTGTCTTCTTCTGAGCTCTCCAAACTGTTCCAACCTCTGCCTGTTACTCAGTTCCTAAGTCATTCCACATTTTCAAGTATCTTTATAGCAATGTCCTTCTTCTCTGGTACCAATTTTCTGTATTAGTCCATTGTCCCACTGCTATAAAGAAATACCTGAGACTGGGTAATTTATAAAGTAAATAAGTTTAATTGGCTCACGGTTCTATGGGCTGCACAGGCTTCTCCTAGAGAGGCCTCAGGAAACTTTCAATTATGGTGGAAGGCAAAGGAGAAGCAAGCACATCTTCACATGGTCGCAGGAGAGAGAGGTCAAGGGAGGTGCTACACACTGTTAAACAAGCAGATCCCGGGAGAACCCCATCACAAGACAGCAGTAGGAGGATGATGCCAAACCATTAGACACCGCCCCCATGACCCAATCACCTTCTACTAGGCCCCTCCTCCAACAGTAGGGATTACAATTTGGCATGAGATATGGGCAGGGACACACATCCAAAGCATTTCACAGAATCAATAGGATATACATAGATACACAGAAGAACATTTACTGTTAGGGAGGAACTCATGCAATTATGGAGGCTGAGAAGTCTCATCATCTGCTGTTTGCAAGTTAGAGGCCCAGGAAAGCTGATCTAGTAGTTCCAGTCCAAACATAAAAGCTAGAGAACAGGGAAGTCAATGATGTTAAGTCTCAATCTGAGACCAAATGCTCTAACCAGGAATGCTGATGTGTGAGCATAGGAGAGGATGAAGATCCCAGCTCAGAAAGCCAGCTCCCTTCGCCTTCCCCATTTAGTTTTATTTAGGTCTTCAACAGATTAAATGATGCTCACATACATCAGTAAGAGCGATCTTTACTCAGTCTACAGATTAAAATGTGAATCTCTTCTGGAAAAACTCTCATAGACGACCCAGAAATATTTTACCAACTATCCTAGCATCCCTTAACCCAGTCAAGCTGACAAAGTTAAGCATCACAACATTCATATCATTAAAACTGTAATTAAAACACATTTTCTTCTCACAAATCTTATAATCTATATCCCCAAAACTTAAAGAGAAGTAAACTCTCTTTTTCTATGAATCTTTGCATTATATATAATCTTCCTTTATTCATAATTTTCTGCTTTCATCTAGTTTGTTATGCATGTAAAATAAGCCTAACCTAAAAGTCCTTGATAAACTGGATAATAAAATATGAATTGTAGTCATTCAACTCATTTCACTTGTCTTTTTATAGGAATATTGTGTTCTTTATTATCATCATTATTATACGGAAGGATTTGTAATGCAGTAGGGACTATAAACACACAGAAACATTATTATGAAGCAAAATATTGTGTAGTTTAACTGACTAAAAGTGTCATTTAATATTTAAATATATAGAAGTGTATATATATTTAAATATATAGAAGTGTATATATATTTAAATACTAAGTAAATCAATATATTAATATATAAATATATTTTATATTTCTATATGTTATTAATAAATACTATTTTATTTATATTTCAATAGATTATTGATAATTTGATATTCATATTTATATTTATTAATATATAGAAGTATATGTTTAAATATTAATGAAATATTCATTTATATATTATATATAAAATATATAATACATACATATATAATGTATACATTTTGTATATAATGTATACATTTTGTATATAATGTGTATATTTTATATATATCTTTATATATTTCTATATGTCTATCAATATCATTATATATACATATATGTTTCTCTCTATATATAGCTAGATATAGCTATATATATGAAAATAAATTTCAGTGAAACCTCATCCTTTCAAAAAATGGCCAAAACAATATTGTTTTTCTAAAATGGAATTTCAGGCAATAATATGTGCCTACAGATGTTTTATATAAGCTCGCCAAATGTAATTAAATGAGGACAAAAATTAAATCACATAATTAAGGACCAGAAAGAGACATTAAAATTCTGTAATGCTGTATTCCAGCAGAATATGTTATTTTTCTTATAATTGGTGCCAAAACTAGGATCAGAATCGTGCCATCCTGAGTCCCAGGTATTAGACGATACTATGCAGACCCACTTTTTATGTATTTTCTTCTTGATTGTTGTCAGATAAACCATTATGAAAGTTCTGGTCATAGTTGTAAGAAGAGCTAAATTATCTCAACTGCTTTTATGAGGGTTAGTCCCTTTTCTTACATTAACACTGATGCTTCCATTTTTATTGTTGTGATATAGAGAATTAAACCAATCAAATTTTAGTTTACCTGCTTCTGAATGTAACTAACCAATGAGCAACGTTAAAATTAGACTCTAAGTTAAAAACAAAACAAAGCGCCATGACCTCTTCTTTAATGGCATTCTGTGTCCTACAACAGCAGGCTGAACAGGGGAAATACAGCTAAGTAACTTTATGGGAGGTCAGCTATATTGTCTGACCCAGTAGAACAGGATTTCACTATAAGTATTTTCCTCTCATTTGGGTAATGTCTCAGGGATAGTTTCCATGTGGCTGAAAAGCAGTAATCGATATAATTATTACTGCCGTTGTTATTAGTATAATCAATATTATTATAATTTCATGCTGTTTAAGGTTGTATTGAATAATTTCTGAGATGATAGAAAATTTCTAACAAAAATTTCCTTACTTCCAGGAAACATGTGAGAACACTTTTCACTCTTCCATCTATCAACATGAGTAGAAAATAGGGTCATGAGCTAACAATTCTTAAAAAACAATAATGATCCAAATCTACTTTTGATCCAACAAACGAATAGAAAAAGAATAACCCCTCAAAGGAAATTTCATTGAGACTTTTTTTACTTGCATATACAAAAAAGAAATCAGATTTTTTACATATTCTTCAAACTGTTTTTCTAGTTTACACAGCTAGTGGACAAAATAAGCTACGCATGTCATAGTCATATGTTTTATTCTTTGAAAATATATTTAGTGTTTATTGTACTATTGAAGTTTCACATTTGTGTCTCATATTATTTCCATACAGAGACAGTTTTATATATCAAAAACATACAAAATAGCCTTTAATCATGGTCACATGCTCTGACAGAGCTACACAAGAAAATGTGAAATTCTTAATGCTATGTAATTTATTCATAATTCTAAATGGTTCATTAAAAATGAATATATGAATTTTATCACTTGACTGATTTTCTGAAATGGAGAATAAAAATGGAATGAAATTGGGTTACACTAACTCAGATATCAAAGAGGAAGGCTAGTGTTGGGTTAAATGCTACTCTGACAGCAGGAATCTCGTTGGAACTTGTGTTCAGCTTTACAACACCTCCAAGAATAGCCAGTAAGTTGCTCATGTTATGCTATTCATGACCCTTGCACTGATGTCAAAGTCATGTACTTTATTCAAATAATATTTTTCAATGCCAACTAAATATGAGATTTTGTTCTGACACTCAGCAGGTCAGAGAAACATCACATTATAAAAAGAAAGTGTCACTTGAACAGAAAGTCATTATGTTTAGTGAAATAAACAGGCACAGAAAGAGAGGTATCACATGTTCTCACTCACAAGTGGGAGATAAAAAAGTTAATCTTATGAATGTAGAGAAAAGAGTGATAGATATCAGATGCTGGGATGGGTGTGTGGGTGCAGGAGAGAGAAAAGTTGGATGAAAGGTGTAAGTTCTATTGTAGAGTGATTATAGTTAACAACAATATATTGTATATTTCAAAGTAGCTAGAAGAGAGAGCTTGATTTATTACCAACATAAAGAAATGATAAATATTTAAAGTGGTGGATATTTCAAATACTCTACCTTGAACATTATACATTCTATGCATGCAATTAAATATCACATGTATCTCATAAGTATGTAAAATATGTATCAACAAAAAATTTAAATAAAATAAAAATTTTAAAATGTGTCATTCAGCTACTCGTAAATCTCAAAAAAAATCTTAGTAGTATGATTATAGTCATATAAAACTGATACCTTTCTGGAGTTCCAAGTTTCAAGATATAGGTACATCTGGATGAGGCTTAATCAGGTATGGGGTAAGCCTTGGGCATTTCTAACTCCATGGGCTCAGCTGAGGAACTCTCTGGCCAACTCTCCCTAAAGAGCTAATCCTTTTTTTCTATATTTTTCACAATTGTGCCTTAAATTTAGAGAATTTCTTGTTATTCTAAGTTGCACAAATACTTTTTTTAAATTTCAGATAATTTCAAGAGTTGAAAAATGTTTTAAACAAGAAACACTATAATCAGTATCTTAGAAAGATCTAGTTGATATCTTAGGAAAAGCTGACTAAAAAGTGCTTAAAAACAAAACACAACAAAAAACATGGGCATAAAATGGCAAAGACAAGGGCAAATATTGACTATGGAGATCTAAATGCAAAGAATGAATGTTGATTTGAGTAAGTAGGTTGTAGCCAGAACATTTTACCTACTTCAAACTTTTACCTGGATATAGTAATGAATCGTGGAGGAAAGGAAGTTGGGTGAAGTTTGAAGTAAAATCGGCAAAAGATACAAGAGAGATGAATTAATGACAAAAGGTAGAGAAAGAGAAAAAATTCTGTGTGGAGGCAGATTACAATCTTCATTTTTTGGTAACAGTGAGGTTAGAACATATAATGGAAAAGGGACTTGGGATATAAATAGAAAACTCTGGAAAGACTTCACATGAGATGGGCTTTTGATCCCTGTAAGAGTCTCTCCACTTGGGACTACAATTGTGCTGTGTTCTTAAAACAAAACAAATATTTTGCATGCCGGCGTGCAAAGCCCAAAACAAATATAACAATTGTGCATGATCAAAGTTTTAAAAGTCTACAAATTAGGTGACATTTGTTTCTTTCAGGGACATACACAGGTGAATCAAATCTTTCCTGCTTCTGATGCTACAAAATATGTGTGCTTTATGAAGAAATTGATGAGTCTTGACCTTGGCTACTTCTTGAAATTTTGTAGAATCAATTATAACAACATCCAAAAATGCTTGTGATGAGAATATATTTAAATAGAAATCAAGAATTTTTAATGTGACTGATGTTAAGTGACTGGTAATAAATAATTCTATTTGGGTTTGGTATGTTTTAGACTTTGAAGAAGCAGCAATCCCTTCTAATAAAATTAAAGCAACAAGCTCAGGGACAAGCTAACTAGGTAGCCAAAAAAGCTCAGGCATTCTTACTGAGTGTTGTCAGAGGACAACAGGTTAACAAGCTGCCTCAGCCAAGTAGAATTCATGGAATGACACAAAAAGAGGGGCACATGTTTATTTACATGCTCTGACCAGGGTATATAAGTCTCCTTCTACACATGCTGGCATTCACACTCAGGATCTTGCCTGAATAGCAAACCAACTCACCACTCCTGACACCATGAGTTACTACGGCAGCTACTACGGAGGCCTGGGCTATGGCTGTGGAGGCTTCGGTGGCCCGGGCTATGGCTATGGCTGTGGATGTGGCAGCTTCCGCAAACGGGGTTATGGCTGTAGCTATGGAGGCTACGGATATGGCTCTGGCTTTGGAGGCTACGGATATGGCTGCTGCCGCCCATCATACTATGGAGGATACGGATTCTCTGGCTCTTATTAAATGAATTGTTGAAATTGGAAGCAGAGGAAAAACCTCCAAATGTGTTTGGTCCTGTCCTGTGGTTTCATTCCAGAAAATCCATTCTATTGTCTTCACCATCAATGGACAGATATTTATCAATGGTTAAGCTACTTCTATGAATATTAGTTGTTTTTTTACTTTCGGAATCCGTCACCTGAAATCCTATTCATATATAGCCACTCTAGTTTGTTCTCCTAAATATGCTTTGTTTTTCTTACCACCATTACCATCATGTTATCTTTCTATCAAGATCCTAGCAAAAACTTGTATTTTTGCTTTTATCTAATACATGAATTAAAGTATAAATATTTTGGTTCTTTTCAATGTTTTCGTTGTTATTATTTAACATTTTATTTTGCAACTACTATAAAAAGTTTACTTATGACGCAGTGAGATCTGTGGCTCCATAGTGGAATGTGATGAAAATCTTCCTAGTTCACCATGTTACGGAAGCTTGAGAACAAATAAGAGATCATATTAACAAGAGATAAAAATAACTTGCCCCTGTCTATTTACTTAGGATGTCAACCCCTCTCAAATGTCCCTCAAGTGTTCCTGGAATCACTAAGGACAGTGTCATTCTCATATTCTGCTGTGTAACATTGTTGTTAGCTGAATGTCTTCTTGGTACCACTGTTCTGGCCAGGCATGTCTTTGCTTTTTTTCCACCTTCAGTTGAGGTTGTGGAAAGGAGATTGGGAAGTTTCACTCATTTCCTAGTCAGAACTACACTTTGTATTTAGCATCTCCCTGAAGGCCATTGTCCCATATTTGACTGATGCAACTCCCACTGGAATGTGGCACTGAAACCCAGTGGTACAATGCTGCACAAAAAACTGGAGGTAGTTTGCAAATGTGTTCTCCAATTCTGTGGGTTGTCTCTACACTTTGTTGATTGTTTCATTTGCTGTGCAGAAGCTTTTTAACTTTATGTGATCCCATTTGTCCATTTTTGCCTTGATTGCCTGTGCTTACTGGGTATTACTAAAGAAATGTTTGCCCACACCAACATCCTGGGAGTTTCTTGTGTTAAGTGAAATAAACCAGGCACAGAAAGACAAATGTCACATGTTCTCACTTATTTGTGGGATCTAAAAATCAAAGCAATAGAACTCATGGAAGTAGAGAATAGAAGGACAGTTACTAAGGTCTGGGAAGGGTATTTGGGGAGGGAAGTGGGGCTGGTCAATAGGTGCAAAAAAAATAGAAAGAATAAATAATGACAGTATTTGATAGCACAACTAGGGGACTATAGTCAGTAATAATTCAATTGTACATTTTAAAATAACTTGAAGAGTAGAATTGGATTGTTTGTAACATGAAGTATAAATGCTTGAGGACAGGGCTACCCCATTTTCCATGACGCGATTATTACACTTGGAAAGCCTCTATCAAAATATCTCATGTACCTCATAAATATATGTACCTACTATGTCCCCACAAAAGTCAAAAATTAAAAAAATAAAAGAAAATTGGGGTAAGCCGGAGGGGTGCTTTCTGACTTTTTTTTTGTTGCACCCTATTAGAGGCTCTTAATAGTCTATATAGCTTGTTGTGAATGGGTGATGACACAAAGTCACATGAGAATAATACACAGGAGGCTTTACTGGTAAGAGCCCTTCTTGGCTGTCAACTCTGGCTTCATTTCTCAGTCAAGTTCAAGTAGTCCGGCTTGTTTTTCTCTAGGAATTTATTCTCATCCAAAAAAATCCTTCTGTTCCTTTCAGCCTTGTTTTACAAGTTCACCACCCTTAGCCAGGCATCTTGGAACACCAACAGTAAACACAGAACTCTCCTCTGCTATGTTTCTCAGTCAACTTTCAAAGTAGTGAAAGAAGCCCGTTTCACCAGTTTGTCTGACGTGACGAGGCATGTCTGAATCCGCTTATATTCAAATTTGGACCCCTACTATTTATCCTAGAAAATATTTTTATCCTCTTGTAAATCTAGAAGAGGAACACTATTTTATAAATGATTTCTCATAGAAAAAGTGTTACCTTTTTGTCTACACTATAGTTTTGATTTCAAATTAAGAAACTAAACAATGGATGCAAAAAAATGGAGAAAAGAAAAGAAAGAAGAAAGCAATCCAAAAACAAAGAAAAATTCATAGGTTAAAGGCCCAATCACATTTAGAACACATTCCATGTTTTATGTTATTTTTTAACTGACTCAATAATGGTGTGTATTTATGGGGCACAGAGTGAAGCTTTGATATATATAATGTATAATAATCAGATCAGGATAATGAGTATGGATAATTGATCTTTTATGAAGTTGAAATGAGTACCAGATATAATACCTGTCCAAGTGCTGTTAAACTGAAAGACAGTGATTCAAAGACCCTCCTGCAGATACCCTTTGCAAATACTTAATTTTGCTAGTGAGGTTTTGTAATCTAAGGTTTAGTATGTTCTAAATTCCTTGGACAAAATAGAAGAGTTAATTAATTATTTAATTAAGCTGATTTTTAGCTTTAGCTAATTATTTTATGTTCTAACCAAAAAGAGCAGGAGAATAGCCCCCGTGGATTACAGGAACTATAGTTACTATTCTGTATGATTTCTATCTTTGATTTTTTTATTGTCCTTTGTCAACTCTAAAATTTAACAATGTGTGAATTAGTCTGCATATTTATATTTTCTCTATAAGGGTTGTAAGTATATATAAAGCTTCCCTTTATAAATATATAAAAAATGGTGGCTGCTTTTAGAGAATAATTATTTAGAATGTACAATATGTGACTAGTCAACCTAATTTTCTCCAGACAGACATTATATATCCTACTAAAGATGACCTGGTAGACAGAAAATCTGTTACTTTTTTACTACAGCACAGTTTCTATTTCAAATATGAAAACTAAACAAGGGAAGCAAAAACAACATCAAAAATCATCCTCATTAGGTTTAAGTGCTGGCCTGACTTGAAGGTCTTTTTGATTTCCGATCTGAACAGTCCAGGTGCTGTTAAATTTGATTTGTACCCAAATATAATTTGTGATGCTCCTGAATGTCACGGCTTTTAAAAGTATATTGCAAAAGATGTTTTTATTCTTGGTTAGATTGTTAAAGAATTGGAAGCTGGGAACGTGAAAGATATTTCTAAATTGCAGTCACTAAATAGTTCTGGGAGAACTGAATTTTTGTTGATGTTTATTACAGTATATCAGTAAGACAATAGAATATACAACTCTTCTGAATGCAAGTAGGGGGGAATTTCCTGATGAAAACTATAGACTCTAATTTTGAGGAAGGTATAATAGTGTCATGTGTACCTAGACATGCTTGTGAATAGTGATTGCATAATTTAGGATCCAAGACTAATGTTAAAGGATAGAATTGGAGAATGAGTAATTTCTTGAAACACGGATACAAAAAGTAAAATTTCTTTCCTCTACCAAAAAAGGTTTTTCAGACATAATAATCATGGTCACATCTTATTACTGCACTCAGATTGGTCACAGAAAACTCTAATAAAGCAAATCAATATAAAAACTTTAATCAATGAAAAACGCTCTATCAATATGAAAGATCAATTGAATCAATATTGTATTGGATATGTGTATAGAATAAAAATTCAGGATACCTGAGCAATTTGGTAATCTGAATAAAAGTATTTCCTTTCATTGGAAATATGTTTGACAAACATCACTGCTGACCTCTGAAATTTAGAGAACTAGGTTGCAGCTATGAATCCATCTATGGTTTGAGCTACGAACTTGGAGATTCTGAGGATTCATATTGTTATATATTTAGTTATGTTTCTGCCAAGCACCTTACGATGGGTTGTAGAGACCATGTGGATTCTATTGTTTAATTGGTTGACAAGGACGCTGTGATCACTTCAGCCACTCAAGTCAGAATATGGAGAGGCTCTGCATGTCTCTTCTGTCATCTCCATAGCCAATTGGTAGCTATTTTGTGCTATCTTCTTAATAGATACATAAAACTTATAATTCTTTATAAATATATTCAATTTCATTTTACCTTTTATCCAATGCTTGTGGTCACAATTTGCCACTTGGATTATGGCTGCACCTTCTCATCTATTCCTACCTGATCTCTGAAAGTCAAAACCTGCTGCCTTTCTTTAGTCTCTTTGTTAAAAGTTATTTGTTTAAAATGGCTCCTAATAGCTCTCCCTGGGATGACACATAATGCTGCTATTATAATGAAAATAATGAAGTGCTCAATATGCTGATACGGAAGGAAATTTCATTAAAAGGCAAGTTACAGAAGAGCCTGGACCATGCGGTTGGCTCATCAGGTACGATATGATACTCAGCAAACACCGACTGAATTAATATGTGATCCATAATCTTGTTAAATATTTGCCTTTATACTAGTTCCTCCCTTACCTTGGATGGGTTGCTCTTCACTTCTCATAAAGAGTTCCTACTCACCTTCAAAATTTAACTTGAGGGATTTCTGGGTCAAATGGTATTTCCAGTTCTAGATCCTTCAGGAATTGCCACACTGTCTTCCACAATGGTTGAACTAATTTACACTCCCACCAACAGTGTAAAAGCGTTCCTATTTCTCCACACCCTCGCCAGAATCTGTTGTTTCCTGACTTTTTAATAATCACCCTTCTAACTGGCGTGAGATGGTATCTCATTGTGGTTTTGATTTGCATTTCTCTGATGACCAGTGATGATGAGCTTTTTTTCATATTTGTTAGTTGCATAAATGTTTTCTTTTGAGAAGTGTCTGTTCATATAATTTGCATGCTTTTTGATGGTTTTTTTTTTTTCTTGTAAATTTGTTTAAGTTCCTTGTAGATTCTTGACATTAACCCTTTGTCAGATGGGTAGATTGCAAAAATTTTCTCCCATATACCCAAAGGATTATACATCATCTACTATAAAGACACATGCTCACGTATGTTTATTCCAGCACTATTTACAATAGCAAAGACTTGGAACTAACACAAATGCCTGTCAATGATTGACTGGATAAAGAAAATTTGGCACATATATGCCATGGAATACTACGCAGCTATAAAAAAGAATGAGATGTCTTTTTAAGGGACATGAATGAAGCTGGAAGCCATCATTCTCAGCAAACTAACACAGAAACAGAAAACCAAACACAGCATGTTCTCACTAAGTGGGAGCTGAACAATGAGAATACATGGACACAGGGAGGGGGACATCACACACAGGGGCCTGTCAGGGGGTGGGGAGCAAGGGAAGGGAGAGCATTAGGA